CCCCCCCCTCGGTAACGCCTGTAGTGCTGACTGGCTCGTAGCGCCGCCGAAAACTTAAATTTCGTAGTGGCATCTACCGAGAAGAAATCTTCACCTCCATTGCTTTGAGTTTCTTGATCTTGTTTTTAATTCAGTTTCTTGAAAAGTGGACGGGTGCTGGATATCCTGGCTTTTTGGGGGGGTTTATTATTTTTTTTTCTGTAGGGTGTTTCTGAGCTCCTGTTGTCAATGCTAAAGATAACACCAGCTGTTCTGGCTTTAAAACTTTGCAGACGTTTGTGTGGGATCAGTAAAAGCAAACTGTCTCCTTCCACGATTCCCCGGGTGGGTGATGCTTTAGCTTAGCAGAGGTGTTTCTTTTAAAATGGGTTCTGCCGGGGGGTAGAGCATGTCTATTTGTTCAGCCCTGAAATCAGGTTACTTCTGGTGGGAATCCTCTTTTGCCACTGGAACCTAAATCTAAGGAGCGTGTCGTGCAAATGCTTCCCTGGAGTCCTGGGGTAGCCAAAACTGCTGAAGTGTCTAGTCTGGCCCATGATATGTCTTTAGCCAGAAGCTGTAATCCATAGCGGGTAAGCCCGGGATCAGAGAACTCAGAGGAGCCTGAGTCTCCAGAAAAAACTATGTGGAGCTTCATGAGAAGCAGAGATAAGCAGTAAGGCTGGTGGGTGGATGAGGAGGGGAAAGCATCGGGCCTTGTGATGTGGGTTTGTTGACTGTATCTCTTAGTTACGGGATATTCTAGCTGAGGCTGCATTTGTACCTCTTAAAGGAGAGTCTGCTGCTTTGCTGCAAAAGCCCGTTGTTAGTGGTGGGACAGTTTCTAAAGCTGTGCAAGATGGATTAGTACGCTTGATTTCTGGGAATATGCACGCTATTTTAACAGCTCATCTGTTACATGCAGGATACACTGTGCAGAAACCTTTGCTATGCAAATCCTCTGCAGGAAATTAAAATAAAAATGGAAATTCTTGACTGTCGAAATTTGTAGTGTGCTTTTAAAATATCAGTTGCCTTTCCTGTAATTATTCATTTTTATTGTAGCCACTGATGCAGTTTAAATGTGTAGAGGGGGAAAAAAAGATTGCAGAAGATGCAGGAAGGGAGTGTGTGTGAGAAAGATGAGAGATTGATATTGAGATCCATTTTCTTGGCACTGTCCTTGTGAATCTGTTTTGCATGTAGTTAAGGAAATCAGCTTATCACTTCAGATAAGATTAGCTTCCAAAATAATGTGATACTAAGCTTCTGTTGCCTCACAAGGAGAGATTTTGACTGCTGAACTGGAAATAGCGCCTGGGTTAAAAGAAACATCTCAGTGTGTGAGCAGCTGCCCTGGGGATGCCAAAGGGCTGCCCGGGCCCAGCTGAGTTTCATCCCGAATCCCCCGGACAGGTGCAGAAGTTGAGTCTTCTCTGCCAAGTGCAGTTGGCCTCTGTTTTTAATTTGCCAACGCTCAGCTTCTGTTTTATTGTTCCAGGTGTTACCTCCAGTGTGATTCTGCAACCTCAGGCTTATGTAACTTCCCAAGTTAAAAAAAATCAAAACAACCTAATAAGAAGTACTGTTTTCAATAATAATAAACTGAATTTATTCTTCTAGGACACTGGTTCTCAACTGACCAGAAACATACACTCAACTAAGGAGTAACATTGTACTTTTACTATAGCACTGTGAATGGTTTTACCTGGAACACAGAGCCTTAAACTTCAGAGCTTAACCCTGAGTCATGTAAGAATTTACCAAGTGAGATGCATCTTAGTGAAAATCCTTGCTTGCATGTGTGTTAGCAGCATCAGCCTTCTTAATGTCTATTTCTCCATACAGTAAACATGCTTGTTTGAGACTATTACAGTCTCAGAGGCTGAATGTTTTTGATCCCTTTATTGAGCCCTGCAAACACCTGAATGTCAGGTGAAGGTCAGATTAACTGCTTATTAGACAAAACTTTGTTACTGCAGGATAATGGAACAACAAATGCATAAATCCTTTGTCTCTATTCAGGGCTTAATTTTTAAGTAACTTAGGGTGGGTGCTTAACATGTGAAGGGCACAAATTCTGTGTACAAAACCCCCTCTCTTTTTCCCCATCACTTTTATGGTATAATAGTGCAAGGTGTACAAAATCACATCTGTCTCATCAAAAGTATCTTTTCCCCTGTCTACAAAAGGTCAGATTTTAAACCAGATGGGATCAAGGGTGCTCTCCAGCTGTTGCCATCCTATAAAATGTGATTTGAATGAGAACTTAAGATCTTGCATCCTCTACTGGAGAGACCTTGTCTTGTTTAACATACATATACATATATATATATATATATATCTTGTAAGGGTGACATACTCCTTTTGTAGTTATGGTTCGCGTTTCGGTCATCAAAGCCATCAGGGTTGTATGTTTAATTGCTTGGAAACCTTATCTTCCAGACAGATTCTTTGTTGACTTTCTGTTGGTTTTGCTCTACCAAAATTGTAGTATTTCTTCCAAGGCTTGACAACACTAGCTTTTTGTTTTGTTTTGTTTTATGAATGGCTCTTTAAAATGTCCCTAGGGAATGGGGAGACTTCACTTCTGTTCCTAAATTTGTCACTCCACAGCGTATGTCTTACTTCCCTATCTCTGATAGTAAAAAGCTGTATTTAAAAATTGTTTCACAGAGCTTTACTTCTTAAAACAAACAAACAAACAAAAAAGCAACCAAAAAACGCCACAACAAAACCCCACAGTTTTAGCTGCAGGCGTATCAAATGGGTGTAGTGGAGGGTGAATGGCCAAAAGAAGCTGCCAAATAAATTGAAATAAGGCAAAAAGGGCAATTTCACAAGGTATGAAGCACTATTTCATGTTAGGTGAGATGTATTACAATATGTTACACTAAATTAAATCAATTTTTACTATCTACATTAAATCTATGGAATCTTGTTTTGCTTATGGTGTCTTGTAGATAAAAGGAGTAGGACACAAAATGTTGAACTAGAAGGGTCTGGGAGAGGTTTCGTTATGCGTAAGTTACCGGTGGTATAACAGTTCATATTTATTTGTGTTTTGATAACCAAACCTGTCTGAAATTTGTGGTATCAAAACAGATTGGATGGAAGACAGCATATAGCGTGGCAGTGCTTGGGTGCTTCCCTCATCTTGGCTTGCACTGTGACTTTTTCCATCTGTTCTTCATCCTGTGAGAAGTGAGGGGACACTTGCTGTGTGCAAGCTGCTTATCACATTAGGACAGCAGTTAAAGCTAGGGGTCACGTGAGTGGGGTAGATTAGGGTCTGCTTAATGACAGTGGTAAAACTACTTCTAAACTATAAAGGAGTGAGTTGTGTTGCATAGCTTAAAAAATTATCATTGGGTTAAAAAAATATTGTTTGACAATTAATCCAGTATTATGTTTGTAACTTTTCTTTTTCCACTTAAAAAGGAAAAAAATATTCCACAAAATTCCACAAAAAAAAAATACAAGCAACTTAAGAGACAGTACACAGCAAAGAGATCAAAGTGGTCACGTGGTATGGAAACTAGTTTTCATGGGACTGGAGATAAGGGGTGGAAGGAACAGAAGAGCTGTTGAGGAGGCTTTCAAGAGACAACTGAGTATTGAAGTCAGAGGAACAACCTGAAGCGTTTTTTTCATGGAGGCATGAGATGTCACAGAAAAGGTTGCATTGTCCTGGAGAGAATGAGGTTATGAGGTGTCTGGGGAGTGCCAGGAAACTGATAGGAAGGAAGATGAGGTGCTATTAAGTCTTAAGTAAACATACTTGGGAAATGAGTGTTAATGAAGTGGCTTTCAATGGAATAGCAAAGGGGAAAATTAGACTGGAAATGAAACATGGTTTTTGTATGAAGTAATAATACAAAGCCTTGGACCACAGGCAACAGTACTGATTGTATATTGTGCTTCTGACAAAATCACATTTTGCTCCTCTTTTGGCCTTAGTTAGAAATATTTTGCTCTTGTCCAAATTAGAGAATGCAAAGAATTAAGTAATAATGGAGAGCAATTTCAGCAATGCTTTACCTGCAAGCCAAGCTTCGGGGTATGGGGTTCTGTAAGTTTTTGGCAACAGGTTTAGAAAGAGGAGAGAAGAGGAGGAGAACACGAACAGGAAAGCAAAAAGCCAGTAAGAATCTTTCTTCCTTAACAGGCGAAAGGGATGCGGGAGCATGATTTGTGGAGGGGGAGGAAAGGGAAGGCAAAGATGCCATAGTGGGTGACTAAATTAAAGGAGATGGAGCTGGCTTGAATTTAGAGGATGGTATATGTTTTTGAGCATGTGGGTCAAGGAGGATGAATGGTAGAATGGGAGTGGCCAGCAAAATAATTTTGGGGAGTGAGAGGAGGAATCTAGTGGGACACGATGAGTTCAGTGAGGAGTACTATGCTTTGGAAGATGAAAGTGAAAAAAGGAGGGGGAAAAAAAAAATTTCTTTTACTATCAGAGGTTGGAGGTAGAAGAAGTGATAAATATAGGTCAGTTTTATAGTTCCTGGCAGGTAGTAAACATAAGCTGGAGTTAAAGATGGCTGTAAAGGATGGAATATTTTTGGAAAAGAGGAGGAAAGAAGAAAAGCAAAATAGACACCCAAGAGCGTAGGAGAGCAATGAAGGCAACTGAGAAGACAGAAGAACTAAAGCACCCAACCAACCTGCAAGACGGAAAGAAAAGTGAAAGAAGTGAGAGTTTGTGAGGAACAGGAGATTGCCCAGTTAGGTCCTATTAAAATAAAAGCATGTGAATAAAGAACCATATGGAATTATTTTAAAACTTGAGTTTTAAAAATTTGAGCCATTTTTGGGGAGCTTGGAATAAACTCTGATGACTCTTTATGTGAAATATCTTGTTTTCAGTGATCCTTTTGCTGCACACCATGAATATATGCGGCAGATGATGAGAAGCTTTTCTGATCCTTTTGGACAAGATCCATTTCTCAGTATAACAGATGGTGGGGAGAGAACAGTAGATCGAAGAGGACGCCAAGACTCTCAGGTTGCTGTAAGAGGAAATCGCAGAGTAAGTGGTTTCTTAATCTCTAAGGATTGCTACATGGAATTTACATTTACTGGTAATACAGATGGCTTCACATTTCCATTTCTGTTAAATTTGGCCCATTGGAAACGGGGGCCTGGCTCAACTATTACAACCTCGGTCAGACTGTTTCATCACTGAATAAAATGTGAATAATTTCTCTCTTGGTTCCTTAATGGCCTGTTACTTAACACAGACAAGCTTCCGTTGGGACTAACAACAAGCCTGTGTTTTATTGAACATTGAGTATACAATATCTAATGAGACAAATTTATCAAAATTGGTTTAATAAATATTGTGTATGAAATGTTTCTATAATAGAGGCATTAAAAATGTCCAAAGACAGAGCCGTCTCTGAACACTTACCTCCTTTTTATGCTATCTTTACTGAAAAAGATACTTTGATACGTTTATGCCTTCACCCTGCACTTCTGTGTCTAGTGATTTATGTTAGTTTGATTTAACACAAACCTGTGTTTCAAACACCTGAATAGTATCTACACAGATATATTAAACCCTGTTTCAACTTTGCAACTGTGAATAAAGGCTTCACATTCTATATTTGGTCTGATACTTAATGTTTTCTCTAGGTATAAGACCGTAAGAATTAAAGATCTAGGAAACCTAGTGTTTCTGTAAATTACCACCTGAAACTGAGAAGCTGACAATGATCTATGTTTTACATAAAGTATCTTTCCAACTCTCAGGGCACACAGGACAATTATATCTTATGCTTCCTTACCTAATTGCTGTATTTAGAAAGGATATATGTTTGAAGTTGGTTCCTTTTCCTCCGCCAGGCTAAATATTTTGCAGCTGGATGATGTCTTACTATAACAAATCACACTTGATTTTTAAAAAACAGTTGGAAGACAAAACGGATTACAAGGGCTTGTGGAACTCAGCCAGCTTTGGTGGTGGTTGTTCAAGCCTAGATAGTTAGAGCTTAATAAACATAGCTGAAACATGGACTGTCACCTACAAGTCAAAAGGGTAACTGTCAGATTCTTTCTTCCATGCTCATACATTGCTGCTTAGTTTCAAATATAGATGTTGCTGTGTCTAATTAGGGCATGATCTTCCCTCTGCTGAAGCAGATTCTTAGCCTTGGTTCAGTAGATGCATAAGACCAGATCAGACTTCTTTTTCCTTTAGAAAAAGAGTATGTTAAACCCTACCCTAATATCCTGGGTGGGGGGGTGTATCCCTTGCTCTTGGCAGTAAGGGATAAATGTGAGGCATAAAAGACCTTTATCTGTGGTTACAGAGAGGAGTTAAAGGTGCAAGATTGCTGTGTTATTTTGATAAGCAGAAAAGAATTCCACACCTGCTAAAATCATTCCAGTATCTTTTAATCTTCCTCACGTTTCACCTAAGAGTTGTCAGATGTCACAGAAGACTCAACACTGATTATTTGAGCCTCGTTGTAATGTCAAACTACTTTTATGGGTTTCCCTCCAGACATTATTGAAACAGTTAAAATAATTAGATTTTTGTGTAGGAAAAGATGGCTATCTTTACTACCATGCTAAGTACACTTTGTTAAAATTACTCATACTGATTAATGATATTGTAATTCTGTGCTTAAGTAAACTATAGCATGACTAAAACTGCTTTGCAAGGAACAGAATTTATTGCAACACCTTAACGTGCATCAATATAGCATTCAAATTTGAAAAGGCTTTTCCTTTCTCAGACAGGTTTGCAGTGTCAGATTTTAGCCTTTTGGAGGGAGGGAAGGAGGAGGAAAGGATATGAGGAGGAGGATGAGGAATGGGGTAAAACAACTTAAGAAATACTGTTATTTGGTTTTGTTTGGATATCTGATCGTCGTGTGTCTTAGCCAACTATTTAACAGCTCTGAGTATATAGCCTAAAATAGAGTTTATAAACTTTTTATGACTAACAACTTCATTCTTTCTGAGGATATCCTTTTGCACTTGGTGTATTCTTTTCTGCCACTAGATATTAGACAGAACTGCAATCAGAGTTCATAAAGGTATTCAAGAATTGGCTAATTCCTTCCTTTTGTACTTAGAATTATTGTAAAGTGTTTGGTACTTCTGTCTAACTGATGTTTCTTTAGACAGGCTTTTATATATCTCTCTCCAGTCTTAGTTTCCTGGAAACATCAATGTGTTTTCCAGCATCTCATAGCCCTGTCATATAGGGATATTCAATATCAGTTGGTCAAACAGGAACTGTATTTGCTGATGTTTATAGCTACATCTATTTATACAACTGCAGAAGAATACGATTTGCTCATGGGGGATTTGTCTTCATGTGGTTCTGTATATGATGATAGATTTACCTAGAATTTCTTTGCAGTGACCTTTGAAACTGCTGACAAGTTAGACTTCATTTTGTTTATCACAAGGGATGTATGGATATTTTACAGAAATATTTTTTATTTTTACATTAATCTCTTGCATACATGAAGAGTGTGAACAGGTCAGCTGCATCACTTAATTTTTTTAAATTCTAAAATTGTATGCTAGCCTTCTGAAATTTAATTACAGAAATTTACATTAAAGGGACTGTTGATTTGTTGATTTTAATCAACTTTCAATGATGGGGTTCTGTTGCATAAGTAGAATGAAGTGTTTTCAGAGAAGTGGGTGATGTCTGAAGCACCATGTCACCTTTTAAATAATTTTGGTACAAAGGTTGCTATGGCATACAAATGTTTTTCAACTTCTAGCTTTAAGTGCTTCTAGTACATACATATGAGTATGACTTATTAAGTGTGGTGACAGCTATCGTTTTCCAATATCATTAGTATAAATATATTACTCCTGTATACCCAGAGACTACTTCACATTATATTGTTGTAACATGCTATAAATTACCAAGGTCCACTTGAGTGATTGTCTTTGACTGGAAATGTTTAATATATCCTGCTGTATATGAAAGTGCACTATGAAAGTGCTGTACATGAAAGTTACTTCTGTGTTTGATAACAAGTGTAATAACTTAAAGGTGCTGGTCCTTTTTCTTCCAGGCAACGAGCTGCTCCCTCATGCCCTTTGCAGGCTTTGGTAGAGTGGTTAGTATCCCAGGAGCAATATTCCTTGTAGCTCTTGCTGAGATGTGTATACTGTCTGCATAACTAAAGCATGGACAAAGGCTGGTCTCGGTGTGCTTGCAAACTGCTCTTGTTGGTGCTTAGATATATGGAATAATGTAATTCAAGAAAGACTTTATTTTTTTAATTTTTTTTTTCTCCTTATAAATGGAAATGCTGGGGTAGACTAAGTTGATATCAAGATTCAAGAAGTTACTACTTAGCAGCTGGATTTTCTACTCGGTGATTTATCTGTTGGTGCTTGATCTCTGATGGATATGCATGAAATTATCTCTGCAGAGAGACTCCAAGCTTTGAGTGCTGTCTGTATACAGACACTAATGGCTTGGAGTGGGTTTGTGTCTGTGTTCCTGTAAGACCCGTAGCACCGGTCACAGCTAAGGCAGGCCAGCTTCTGGACACAGGATTTCCATTGGAACTGGGCTTGGAATGGTTTCCAGCTGTGGTTTGTTGTGGGCTCTGGAATGTCTGTAAAAAGTACCCGAGGAAAAGCAAGTTTATTGTTATGACCCTCATGGAACTTCTTGCTTCCTTTGGAAGGCTTTAGAGAGTCCTCAGCTTGAAAAGTGGCAGCTTATATTGTGGAGCAGGTGAAAATAAGTATTGTATTTGAATTTTCAGATCTAAAAGTATTACTTGTGCCTCTGGAAGACATAATTGAACAAACTGGCAACTTGCTGTGTGCAAGAAGTGTATCAGCTAATGAAAGGGGTTTTTGCTATTGCTGCACAGGCTATGGTTTTATTCCTCCCACCCCAGTTTATGGCATGTAATTCCATAGTTACAGCTGACTACTATGTAATGTCATTGGTCAGCATCCAGATTTCGAACTGTAGAAGGCAGTTTTCTGGAGTTACTGACACTTGCAATGATTTGATGCCCTAAATTGTCGATAGTTATTGCCCAGAGGTTTTGATAGCCCTTAAGGGTTCAGGTTTTTTGCTACTCACGAAAAAAATTGGAGATTTTTCTATACTTGAATTTTACTTAGTTTTGTGCTTAAACTGCAAATTTTATTTTTTAACTTCTAAACACGTAGCTATTTAAATTTATTTATATTTAGTTCTGTATATAAATTCAGTAGGTTGGAGGAATGTAGGTTGTTTGCTGTTGTAATTAGCATCCTGGTGTTTCGTGACACCTCAGCAGTGCAAAGGGCTGCTGTGTGCAGCCCAGGAGCCTGCCTTTTCCCAAAGCTGCTGGGTTTTGCAGAGCCCTCAGCAGCTGTTTTCTATGCTTTTCTCACAGCCTCATAACTTTCTGTGGACCAGAGCGTGGTGGTGGCACAGAGGCTCTCCTGGGAAGCAGTGATGCATACACATGTCTAGAAACTCATCAAGCAATGTCTGGTGTTTGCTCTTAACTAGCACACTCCAACCAGAGCTGCTCGTGTCAGAAACCAGGCAGCCCAGTAAGGAGTTTGAACAGGTCCTGAGGAAAAGTTCATAGTAGGAGACGAAAGGCATGGTGAAAATCATCTTTATCATCACCACCTGCTGTGCTGGAGATGAGCCCAGAGGAGGATGCTCATTTGGGACAGCATTGCTGTCTTCCCAGATGGTCACTTAAAGTTCACACTTTCCCTACTTTGTCTCTGTCTCTATATTTTTTCAATATTTTTTTTTTCTTGCAAAGGAAGCTTGCATCAGTTTATGCCATCAGCTACAGATCCTGTTAATAAAGTTGTGTGCATGTCAGCCTGTCTTAGTATCTGTCCTTTGTGCAACACTGAATCTTCTGCTTTCATGTAAAAATAATGATTGAATGTTTTGTTGAATACATGTGTAGCATGAAGTAATTAAGCTGCCATTAAAATACTAAGTTATGGTTCTTCGATTTTTCCACAATGCCCTTTTATGAGTAATGTAAACTATTTCTGCAAAAGAACCACACTGTCTGCTGGGATACATTTTCAGTGTGATTCCATATGCATTAAGGGATTTGCATAATAGAGATAATTTTATGTTCGATAGATCATAAACTATGAAGGATCATATAGTACTTTTTGCAGCATAAGATAGTTAAGTTAGCAGGTATGTGAAAATAGTTCTTGTATATTGGCCACAATATGAGCTTATTTTGATATTTTAGTGTCAAATCTTTCACTTCTGTCTTTCTAGTATCTCCAGCTTAACAGTCAAGCTCCCCATGTTAGCTTTCCATTTTTCATTTGAAAAGATGCATTTTGGCTTGTCTATGTCTGTGAATTGCAGTCTGTGGAAAACCTTTTTCTTGATGGTCTGATTTGCATTAAAAATGCATGTAATGAAAACAGCCTCAGAACTCGGAAGAGTCAAAAGACTTCATTTTAATTTTCATGTTTTTCTTTTAGCAGGATGTGGATTTTGGGGAACCCTTTTTTGCAATGGACAGGATGATGTCAAATATGAGAAACAGTATGCTGGAAATGCAAAGAAAATTTGTAAGTTTTTAAAAATGTGTTGTAAAATTAATTGTATTAGAAAATAATACTTGTTTAAAATATTACTTAGTCTTGCCAAGAAGAGTAAGGTGGCTACTAGTCTCAAGCAGGTGGTAAGATTTTTGTTATTTTTTACCCCAGACTATATCGTGGTTATAACTCTCTATGCTGTCACTGATTATTTGCTAACAACAGTACTTTAAATGTATTCTTGATTCTCTAGGGGTTAGAAGTGCTGTAAGTTGTCTGATCTCTGGCTGACACCTTAAGTGAAGGAGCAGTTTAAAGTGTTACTGTGCACTGAAAGCCAACAAAGCCACAAACACCTAAATCTCTCCCGGCATATAGAGACTTTCCTCTGATTTTATTTTCAGTGCTGCATCTTTCTTCACAGTCCTTGAAGATATTTATGAAGTGTTGCTGGTTGTATTTACTGGGGTTTACTGGCCTTGTAAAACAGCTTGTAGCCATCGTTGCTCAAGTCCTATTTCACCTGAACTCTTTACACACCTTATTATATACTCTATGTGGCAAGACTGATATTATAGGTTGTATCTGCATTACTAAACTAAACCGTGCCAGGGCAAACGTTTGAGCAGTTGGTTATTGCTGCCTGTGCTTTTTATCTGTTGTCATGTTCCTGGCACGGGGAGACCTGTGGCCAGACGAGGCTCGGGCAAGAGCGAGGGCATATCAAATGCCAAAGTCTGTTCCCAGCAGGCCATATCTACAGTGCCAGGACTGAGGGTTAATTTTGCAGAGGGATATTCTCTTTCATAATAAGATAGTTTCAGAATGCAAGTACCTATTATCCACGAGTTCTAACTTTTCTTAATAAGAAGTCTACATTGCTTGCAGGATGACCTGTCCGTCCATCCAGATGCACACACGTTCAGCTCCTCCTCTGTGATGACATACTCCAAAGTAGGGGATGAACCACCAAAAGTTTTCCAAGCTTCAGCTCAGACACGCACTGCTCCAGGAGGTGTAAGTAGTGCTGAGATGTAGCAAAAAGGTGGTATGTAATTATTGGAATCCAAGTTCATCTATACTAAACCAGACTTTCCTTCAGTTGTTTTTTTTTAACTGAAGAAAGTTACTCTTATAATTTAGAAAAATACATGTCTGTTTAAATATTGCTCTATATTAAAGGCTTCTTAGGCTAAAGTGCTGTTTTCTTCCTTGTAATTTGTGTGCTTCTAAGTATACATCTAAATAAATTGTATGCCTATCAAAGACTGGAAAAAAAATGATTCTTCAAGGCGGTCTTGATGTCTTTCTCTTTGCTGTAATTAATCCTCTTCTCCTACATTTAAAATTCTGTCTAAAATATAAGAGAGCAAGAGGCAGTCTATTTATGCAAAACGTGGCTTCAAATCATCCCCTTTACTCGGGCACTTTTAAATGCTTACGTAACGCTTCAGATGGAGATGCCCTTTCATTGACTTCCTTGCAGCTGTTGCGTCTAATTCTGCTAAGAAATTTGAATTTGAATTTGAACCCTGAAGCGAGGTTCGTGAAAGACTATATGCGAGCCGTAAAGGCCGTTGAGCGTGATTGGCTGTGGGTTATGTTCAAGCTCAAGCAGACACTCAGTTATCAAAAAGGTTCTAATAATAATACCTATGAACACAGTGATAAGTGGTTGCCTGGGTTTCAAGCCAGTCAACACGACAACCTAGTAATTAGTTGTCCCTTCATGCTGAGAATACTGGCATTGGCTGTTATTCATTCTGTTGTCAAGGGGAATGTTGAAGACTTGTCTGCATGTAGTATATTTAGACTAGGCTTATTTTTCCCCAACAATTAATATCCAGTATGTATGTTACTTAAGGAGCTTTAGGTGTTCTTGTTTAATCTTCCTGTCTGTTGCCAGAAAGAAAATAGACTTGATCTATGTTTTATTGGTGATTTTCAGCCAACGCAGAATGAGACAAGCTTTTTCAAAAGAAAGATTTAAAACCTTTGGGGAAGAAAATTGGATATTTTTTTAAGCTTCTTTTTTTGGTTGGAATGACACTTACTTCCCTTTTTTGTACAGGTTAAGGAGACAAGAAAAGCACTCAGGGATTCTGAAAGTGGATTGGAAAAAATGGCTATTGGTCATCATATTAATGATCGTGCTCATGTCATTAAAAAATCAAAGAACAGCAAGACTGGTGATGAAGAAATGAACCAAGAATTCATCAACCTGGATGAAAGTATGCCTTCTTATGCAGTTCTCTAATGGGTTTTGCACTGTTGTTTCTTGTACTAATTTTGAAGTTCCAGCTTGAGACATCTTAAAAGGGACTGGTTTCCAGACAGTCCCATTTGCAAACTTTTTTTTTTCCAGAAAGTCAGCAAATCAAGTTTCCATAGTTGAGATAAATTTGGACAACCTAAGTTAAAGTAACCAGTCAGACTTGAACATGTTGTATTATAATGAAGTTGGTACTGTTTGTTTGTACAATAGCTGCTCATATTTGAAAATACTTTTAATGATGTTTTATGGTTTCAAACAAACTTTTTATAGAATTTTACTACTTGCTATGTGTTTGTTTGTGGCTAACATAAAACACATATTTAAGAAATGTGTGGTTAAAATGGGCATGTACTTTTACAACACAGTGACTTTAAGGTTTTTTTAATTTCTATCTTCCAAACATAAGCCTACTGGCAGTGAGCTTTTAGTTGTCTTTTACAGATCCCCTAGAAATAGTTTGCAGGTCATGGGGAGAGTCATGGACCACAAGTTTAAAAAATGCTGGTGAAAAAAACATATTTTAATTTCATGTTTTCTCCTATCTTGCTTGCATTTATGAAAAATGAAACTGAACTTGAACTGTTTTTCAGCTGAGGCCCAGACCTTTGATGAAGAGTGGCAGAAAGAGATTATGAAGTTCAAGCCATCTAGAACTAGAGGCAATTTAGAAGCTCCAAAGTACAGAAGTATTCATCATGTACCCAAGGAAAATGGATCAAAAAGGTAAAAATAGTTTCCTACCAGAATAAGGATATACAAGCACCAGAATGAAAATTCAATTCCGAAGCAATCTTTTTATGAATAAACAATGCTTACTGGCAATCTGAGGAGAAATATAAAATGGTTTAGGTTGGAAGGGACCTTGAAGACCACCTGGTTCTCCCCCTACTGCCCTGGGCAGGGACACCTCCCACCAGACCAGGTTGCTCAAAGCCCCATCCAGCCTGGCCTTGAACCCCTCCAGGGATGGGACAGCCACAGCATCTCTGGGCAACCTGGGCCAGCGTCTCACCACCCTCACAATCAAGAATTTCTTCCTGAAATGGCATGGTTTATTATTCTTTTTTTTCATGATGTCACAATAAACAGCGTAAGGCAGTATTTTGTTAACTAAATTTTGAAGAAATTCAATGGTTTTGACTTTGAAAATTACTTAATGAATTGATAGGCTTAAAATGATGATTTTTCTAGAGAAATATGCTAGTGCTCTTAGATCAGCTATGTACAGTTTTTGTACAAATATCATATGGTGGTTGTGATTTTTGTTGTTCATTTCAGAGAGAAGCCACTTGCAATTGCAAGTTCCAGGGAGCCCAGAGCTTCTTTGGAGAATCTCAGTGTGAAAGGAACACACGTCCCCATCAAAAGCAGCAAAAAATAAATTGCTTCCATTCTCCATTTGAATGGAGTTTCTTCAGAGGAGATAATGGTGCTGCATTGCTTATGTTCATATAAGTATACACGTATATATGACCAATCTCTGTTTTTTGTTCTAGTAAGTATTAGCGTGCCTTGCTACTCCGATATTTTGACAACTGAATGTGCTTTAAAACTTCAGACCCTTGGTTAAAACCATCTAGTTTCAGTTTTTAAATTAAAAAACTGATGACTTTCCACTTAAAAGCACTTTAATGGATTATCACTAATTCTGTGGTGTTTTTTTCTTTTTTTTTAAAAAAAAAAGCTTTGATTTGCAAGATTTTGTACTACAACTGCACCAGTCTCAGACTTTTTATTAAGCCTGGTAATTAAACTACTTTTTCCCACACTCTAACTTGCACAGGAAGTAAATTCTCTTTTTATTTTGTGTGGCTGAAGTAATTATTAGTTTTCTAGGTTATACAGCAATTAATAGCAATTTGAATACATTATAGCCCCTACATAGACATATGTATATATCTTTAAAATCATACCTTAATTTGCTATAGAATTCCCAGATTCACCTTGTTTTAATATGAAGAAAATTGAGAGAGATGCTAAAATGAGAAATACTTAAGTTTTTGTTTTTCAGCATTCATAAGCTGTGCTTGCATCTCTTATTTTCTGTGCTGGGGCTGTCAGTTGGTAATGTTTCCTTTGGAGATGGCCCATTGTTTTTCATTCTTGAAGATTCTCTGTAGTAGCTTTTTAATTATTCTGTAATAATACCACTGTATCCTAAGAAACTCAGCTGTAACTATTACTTATTAATCAGAAAAATGTGGGAGACATTGGTTTAGTGGGCAGTAGTTTAACTGGATAAGGAATAATTACAACATTTATTCTGTTCTAAAAACTAAGAGTCCTCTATACAGGAAACCAGTTCCCCCCCTCAGCTGAGATGTTTGTAAATCTGACGCTTGATCTCCCTTGACCTTGTTGTTGTTACTGTTTGGTTAAAGACTCTGCTGTTCTAGAGGAAAGCCAACTCTATGACTGAGAACAGAAAATGTCTTTGTTTTCCAAGTGTTAAGTTTGTGTGTGCTGTTTTGTAATGCAGGATTGATCCCCATGTCGTAGCGTAAACAACTTCTGTAGACTATAAGATTATAGCATTAGCACTGTAGCATATATTTCAAGGCTAAAACATTATAGTGTAGCCTTAAAGGCACTATTTATATGATAAAAGAAAATAGGTTTACTAAGTTAAGATTAATATTAAATTTGGTCAAAAAGGAAATGGCCTTTAAATCCTACCTTTCTGCAGATTCCTCAGATTATTTAATTCTGTGTTTATTAATGTGCAAAAATAATGAAAAGTACTTTTGTTGAAATCTGACAAGGGAAAGAGAATTGTTTATTTGCTTGTTTAATGCAATGGTCTCTTCCCATTATCGAAGCAAATCCTAGTGGCAGTAAGTTAATGCTGTTGAACCATCCATGGTCAGTCGGGGAAGTGGGTGGTCGGGGGGTAGCAACCTCTGACAGGAGGACAGGCTGAAACGGGGGGATGTCACAGTCCAGCTTGCCAGAACCCTGCAGCTAAAGGATGATTTTACTCCTTAAAAAGTAAGAGTACAACTTCAGGGCCTGATCTTCCATACATAAGAGACAACATGGATTTTGTAATAAACATCGTTGAGAATATAAGGCTGTGGAGGCCTTTTCCAGGAACGTCACTTGAACTTCCCTGTAATAAACAGCAGAAAAGTTTTTCATTTGGTAACTTCAAAAGAAATTTTTGATTTGAGAGACACTGCTATTTAACAGAAAATAGTATTCATCTGACAACTGACACTATGCTTTACTAAGATTAAAAAACATGACGCATATAGGTAATCAATAAAACACACCTAGTGGAAAGAGGCTAATATTCATTAGAGATTACTCTGTTATGCAAAACAAAGTTCTAAAATGTAACACAAAAGAAATTGTTCTGTGTAGAAGCATCTGAAACTGTAATTCTTTAATAAAGTTATTTATTATTTATGGTTATTGTTTGGCTTGCTCTATACCACAAAAGGACTTGTGCATTATTTATTTTGGGCTGCGAAACATTCCGATGTGTGACACCAATAGCAATGCAATGAGGGAAAGCAAAGCTCCTCAGTTTCCAGAAGGAAAACATGCATTTACAACAAAAAATAAAAGTTTGCTAGGAGGAAGTGGATAGGGCTGGGAATTGAGTCTGGCGATGGCCGGGCTCTTTCTGTGCTTCAGAACTGCTCTTGGAGTCTTCTCTTGGAGTCTTCTCTGGTTCAAAAACCCAGCTGTTCTGGTGTAATTTGAATGGGGGGGGACACATTAATTTTTTTTTTCTATATTTGAGAATATGGGTTCACATTGTAGCTTCCTTGAGCTCTGACATGAATCCTAGCCTGCCAGCTATTCAACAGCTATTGTGTGGATGCTCTTGACAATAAATGCAAGAATTTCTTCTTTCATTGTTGCATCTACTTAGAGGGAAGTCACTCACAGTAACTGCATCAAAGAGCAGGGTTATTGTGTTTCCATATCTGTAATGTTGACTTGAATGAAACTTTCTTGCTATATCCACACAACAATCAAAGCGTTATAACTTGGTACCTCTGCTCCACACAGCATTGTCCTACATACCATGAGATTGTGTTTTCCTTTTCCATGCAATGCTGCTGTACGGCTGTTCTTTTGATGGGGAGCCCAGCTCTGGATTTGAGCCCTCGGACTGTGTCCCTCAGACTTTTTTGGTACAATCAGGTCATCTTGCTCTGCAGTTACAGCTCTGCTCTGATGATTCAACCCTCAGTATGGATACGGGCTGGGGGATGAAGGGATGAGGGTGTTCTTTACCCTCAAGTAAAGCTTGATGAGCAGGGTGAGGGAGGGGAATCTGCCCCTCTGCTCCGCTCTGGTGAGACCCCGCTGCAGTGCTGTGTCCAGCTCTGGGGCCTCCAACACAGGAAGGACATGGAACTGTTGGAACAGGTCCAGAGGAGGCCATGAAGATCATCAGAGGGCTGGAGCACCTCTGCTATGAAGACAGGCTGAGACAATTGGGGTTGATCAGCCTGGAAAAGAAAAAGCTCTGGGGAGACCTTAGAGCCTCTTCCAGTCCCTAAAGGGGCTACAGAAAAGATGGGGAGGGACTCTTCATCAGGGAACGGAGAAATAGGATGAGGGGGAAGGGTTTTAAACTGAAAGAGGGAGATTGAGATCAGGTATTAGGAAGAAATTCTTGACTGTGAGGGTGGTGAGACACTGGCCCAGGCTGCCCAGAGAAGCTGTGGCTGCCCCATCCCTGGAGGGGTTCAAGGCCAGGCTGGATGGGGCTTTGAGCAACCTGGGCTGGTGGGAGGTGTCCCTGCCCAGGGCAGGGGGTTGGAACTAGATGGTCTTTAAGATTCCTTAGAGCCCAAACCATTCTTTGATCCTATGTCTTCAAACGTCATCAGTGAGCTTCGGCTGCATCAACCCTAATCACTATGTCAAGGTCACTATTTAAAACACTAATGACCTCGGTCCCAAGAAATCCTTAGGGCGCAGTCCAGTAGGAACCTTCCCCCTCTCCTCTATCGCGATCGGTGTTTCCCAGCTCCCCCTATTCGCTCCCGCTTCTCCCTCCCGCCCCGCACCGGGTACGCTCACCGCCCG